TGGATTCGAATTTAACTCGTTAACAAACCATAAAGTGAAATTTATGTCGGCTACGTGTGTGGGCCAAGGAAATTCCGGTCTAAGCCACTCCAAAAAAAAAAAAGGATTGAAGTCATCGTCCAAAGATGGTTACTTTTTTAAGCAGCTATCTGTTATCCTTGTAAGTTGTATCTATATATCTTTATCCTGACTTTCGAGTTAATGAAAACTGGGTCTTACATTGAGATACTCTTCTTTTAAGCTGGTTGGAACATTTCTAGAACCTTTTAAAATTCTATAATTTATAGTTCTATATCTTATAGATATAATTTAGTTTACCTAGTTTTATTTCTAGAATCTCCACTGTATCCTTATGCACCTTTTATTCCCTCTATTTACTTCAAGTTGTCATTAATCCTAGGAAGCTGAATTTTCACTTTGAAGTTGTTTTGAAGGGAGGTGGAGCCTGGGTTAAACGGCAGCTCCAATGCCAATGGAAAACGAAAGGATAAGTCCCAGACAGGATAAGGGGGTAAGGATACACACAGCAAGGAGCTGGAACCCATCCGTTTCATAGTCATTGTTCAAAGTTGCATTTTGATGCTTTGACTGCGTCACTGCACGTCCTCTTTACATCTATATATATGTACGTACTATATTTATCTGAATACAGTGTGTAGTTGTCTGTGTATAACTGATATTTTACGTGCCACACACGCATTTTCCCCCTGCGTACGTGTGTGTGTGTAATGATTCGTTGTATGTTTTATGTCCTTGGGTAACATAAATTGAATTTCACAAAATTGTTGAAGCATAAAACCTGCTTCAAGTGAAATTTTAGCGTGCTCATTCTCGTATAAAATAATGCCTTTTTCTGTCTGTCATTCCAATCAACAAGAAGAGGAAGAGACAATCCTAAAGGCGGAAGAAAAACCCCTTTCCCAAAAAAATAGATGAAAACTGCGACGTCACAAAGCATAGAAAAGCGGAACAACAACAACAAACACACTCGGAGAATGAAGCTAATTTACAAGGCGTCCCCCCACGATCAACATTTAAGTCATGTCAAAGAAAATTTAGTCAATGGCAGGAGGGAAAATGGAGGAAAAATGCAGGAAAATGTGTGCAGGGGTAAGGGCCAAACTTTAGGCCTTTTGTTGTGTTTAGGGAACACACACATCCGACACTTGAAAAATTATAGGTATATTCTATCAGTAAAAAAAGAGATTATAGAATGTTGCTAAATAATATTAACATTTATGTATAAATAAAATAAAAGAGGTAATAATGAACAAGTCGTAAAATACCTTAAAAAGTGTATATAGAAAATAAAAAATTAAGAAAATTCATTCCAGTAATGATATTTAGTAATTCCTTTAATAAATTGGAATAATTGGAGAAGATCTCCCTTCAGCGGAACCGTGGGTCCTGAGAGGACTGCCTCAACAATTTGAGCAAAGAAGGTCCTTCCTCTTCCTAGACAAGATCTTAGAAAAAATATGAAATTAACCTTCTTGGGAAGCTTACTTCCGGTATAAAATAATAATAAATAATTAAAAAACAATGTATTTCCCAAAGTATACATAATTATGGGTTGTCTGAGCGTTATTAAAGATTTAATTGGGTAAAATTATATATAGGTTATAGATAAAATATGTTTTTTGTAAAGCTATTATTAATTCACCAATTAACTTAGGATTTCATTAATTTGTTCTTAATTTCCTAAGTGTAAAACATAACCTTGGTTGCGGAATCAGTTAAAAATATCTTTGCATTTTCTTTCGTTTGCAATTACTTTCTTTGCTAATTTTTTAATTATCGAATCTATATCCCTTTAAAATAATGCCTTTATTTACAGTGCATGTTCATCTGTCATATACACACACAACACACACACGCACACACACTCATATCCTGTCCGCTGAGCCTTAAGCGGCAATCGCCGCTTCCGCATCAATGCTTCAGTTTGAAGCGAGGAGAAAAATCGGCCCAAAAAAGGGAAAGTTGCAGAAACAGGAAGAAAGTGAGTATGAGAAAAGAAGAGGGACTAGACATATTGAGGGGAAAATAGGGAAAAATAACAAAATAATATAAACAAAATATAAATAACAATATTTTTTAAATTTATACAGATTTTATAAAAGTTAAATGGGGTATAAATTCAATGAAAATAGTCTGGTACTTACCGAAAAATGTATAAAATATAACATATATAAAAATATAACAAATATATAAATATAATTAAATAAACTTCATAAATAACTCTCCTTTAAGACCAATATTTAAACACTGTAAAAGCCAGGGTATTTGATATTTCGTTAGTCATTCTTGTCTTTCCGTTTTGTTATTGAATTTTTTGTTTAGTCATTTTGTAAATGTTTTTCTTTCTTTTGGCAATTAACCAAGAATGGAACGAAGGCGAAGGACACGTAATGAAGAGATTTATCATTTCATTGACTGCTGGTGACTCGAAGGTTTCGCATTTTGGCCTTCTGTTGGCCATAAGCTTCATATAGATTGCTCATTAGGAGCGTAACTCTATACCCAGGAATAAGCAAGGACGAGCGAGAGAGTCCTTGGGCTTGATTTAATTTGTGCTTCGCTAAGCTTCACACTTAAATTGCTTGCAACCAACCCTCCTTTTTTTTTGTTTAACCCACTACATATGTACATATGTAAACTGCTGGAAAGTTAACTTTGGCTGATGACGTCAGCTGGTAAGGACACTCGAGGGTTAAGGGAAATGGAATATCTTGGGAGCAAGTCTAGAGGAGGGACTGAGTCTCAAGGAACTTCCCTTAAGGAAACTCTCTTAGTTTCCCCCCATAAGAAGTGCATCTAATTGACACTTGAGGGCTGTTGCCTGACAAGTGGTTTTGGCTGGAAGAAAGGTTCCCTTTATTTCCGTCCTCCTTGTTTAAGGGAAACCCTTTTGTGTTACATTTTCCCCCCTCTCATATATTGTAATTGCCATTTTGGGGCGGCATTAAACGTTTGCCACACTCGAAACTCTGGCGGTTTATGGCAAACAATTTTGGAAGAAGCAAAATGAGTGTAAAACAGCTGCCAAGGCGAACCCCAAAAAAAAAAAAAACATACCAAGGATCTTTGGACAGGGGACATAATTCATAAGGCGGCCAAGAGACAGGGATTAAGACACAGTGATGGCAATTTGGAATGTTTAAAACGCTTGTAAAGTAATATAAACAAATCTTAAACAATGTTAGTTAATCATTTTACCTATAAATGTTCAAATGGTAATAATATCTACATGGAATTATTAATTTTAAAACATTTAGGGTATAAAAACTTTCAAAAATATAGAGCAAATATTATATTTCATTCAATCCATAATTTTTTTAAATTTTAAATTGTAGCAGGACAAATTTGGAGTATAAGGAAATCGAAATATATTCAATATACAAATAAAATAAAATCTTCACTTACCGATTTTCTCATTTTATCTTCTTTCTTCTTATTTTTCAATTTCATCTTCATATTTTTCGTAAATTTCTTGTTAATTTATGTCTTTTTGTTCTTGAATCGGAAATTTATTTTACACACATGATATTTAATCACTTTAGTACTTTTACATTCGTTGAATCTTTACACGCACTTTAATTACTTTACATATTTACATTTGCAGCGTAAAAAACGTTTAAGCGGCAAGAAATCAGTCAATTTGCATTTTCCCTTTTGGAGCGGTTACTTGCGATGCACACATACACAAATGTGCATTGACTCCACCACACACACACACATACATGGCGGGGGCTGCGCTGCTGCCGCGGGTGTCTCAGGTGGTTTTGTTGTTGTTTTAGTTGCTTTTATTTAATATCCACTTGTTAAATGTTTTTAAAATGTCTTATTTTATTATCACGTACATATATTTGTAGTTATTTATTAATTTCTTTTCGGCATTTGCCCAATTTGTGGTTTTTTCTTATTCCTTTTCCCGCGCGTACAGCTCCAATTTGGAGGGAAAAACAGCGCTCACTTCACTTTTACATAAATTCGTTAATATTTCACTTGTTTGGTGTTTAATTAAGTGTCGCCGACTTAAATGCAGTTAGTTGAACTGATTTAATCGATTAATTTGTATTATTAAACGTTTTTTCGCACCTAAAACGTATTTTAGCTGCTGCCGCCTAAATTTTCCGCTTGCCACTTTCGATCTCTTCCTCTTCACTGTTTCTCTCCGCTCTCTGAGAGTCACTCAGAGTCATTCCACTCTAGCATACGGTATTTGAGATTTTAAAATAACTCAATCAGAATGCTTGACAAAATCTAGTTGGAATACACTCATAGGCGGCGCTGCTGCTGCTGGTGTGTCTAAAGTTTTTTTTAAGTGCAGATTTACATCGGCATTAGCTTAAACCCATTTGCCGTCGGCAGAACTCCTATTAAAAAAAGGCACTGCACATTCATACATTCATATCTATGTACATATGTATGTATGTAGGTACATTTTCTTTTATTCTGCAAAACATTTGTATGTTATTTATGCTTAATTAAGTGTTTCCACATTTAAAACATTTAGTTATGTTGATTTAATTATTTTGTAGTTATTATCACACCTTTATTTGGACAATAAACGTTTTTCAGCAGCAGCACAACATAATTTTACACTTTGGCTACTTTGTTTTGTTTTCCCTCCTTCACATTTCTCTAAAGCATTGAAAACCGCTTAATTTGGCAATGAGGCCATTTCAGGAGCGGGAGAGCGAGCTTCCAAGATGAGCGAGCGAGGTGAAGAAGGAAAAGAAAAGAAGAGGAGCTTGAGATCAGTAGTGAAAAATTTTATTGCGTGCTGGTGCTGCTGCTGTTAAAAAAAGTTTTTAATGCGGGAAAAAACGCTTAATAATACCTACTAATCGAGTTAATCAGTAAAACTAACTGCATTTAAGCCGAGAACAATTAATTAAACACCAAACAAGTGAAATATTAACGAATTTACGCAAATGTGAAGTGGACGCTTTTTTTCACTCCAACTAGAAGTGTGTGAGTGGGAAAGGGAATAAGAAAAACTCATAAATTGGGCAAATGCCGAAGTGAAATGAATAAATACCTATGTACGTATGTACGTTATTATAAAATAAGATATTTTTAAAACATTTAATAAGTGAACATTAAATTAAAGCCACTAAAACAGCAACAAAAACAGGTGAGACACCCGCGGCAGCAGCGCAGCCACCGCCAATTTATATGTTAGTATGTGTGTATGTGTGCATGGCAAGCAACCGCTCCAAACTGTTTTCTTGCAGCTTGCGTGCTTTAAGTTAACGGTTCTAAAAGCACAAATAAAAATACAAACCGCTTAAAGTGCGTGTATTAGCCAAGCTAATAATATTGTGCAATGGTGAGGAAATTGTTGATAATCTTGTGAATTTTTAAATAATTTATTTAATAATGATAAGTGAGAGCTGCTCCCCCCTCCAATTGGTACTGGCTAAGTGGGAAGCAGAATGACAACAAACTAAAAAAATATTACAAATGCAGAAGTAAAAATTATAAATAAATAACAACTTATCACTAATAATAATAATATCAATTCAGTTGTTTAATCTCCCGCTGGCAATGTAAACCAGCAGAAGCACAACATAATTTTACACTTTGGCTACTTTGTTTTGTTTTCCCTCCTTCACTTTTCTCTAAAGCATTGAAAACCGCTTAATTTTGCAATGAGGCCATTTCAGGAGCGGGAGAGCGAGCTTCCAAGATGAGCGAGCGAGGTGAAGAAGAAAAAGAAAAGAGGAGCTTGAGATCAGTAGTGAAAAATTTTATTGCGTGCTGGTGCTGCTGCTGCTAAAAAAAAGTTTTTATTGCGGAAAAAACGCTTAATAATACATACTAATCGAGTTAATCAGTAAAACTAACTGCATTTAAGTCGGGAACAATTAATTAAACACCAAAAAAGTGAAATATTAACGAATTTATGCAAATGTGCAGTGGACGCTATTTTTTCACTCCAACTAGAAGTGTGTGAGTGGGAAAGGGAATAAGAAAAACTCATAATTCGTGCAAATTCCAAAGTGAAATGAATAAATAACTACAAATATTTGTTCGTGAAAATAAAATAAGACATTTTTGAAACGATCAGCTGGTGGAAATTAAATTAAAGCCACTAAAACAGCAATTAAAAACCTGAGACACCCGCAGCAGCAGCGCAGCCCCCGCCAATACATATGTATGTGTGTGTGTGTATGCCTCAGTCAATGCATGGCCAGTAACTGTTCCAAACGAAAAAATGCAGAATAACTGTTTTCTTGCGAGTGGAGTGCTTTAAGCTAGCTTTTCTAAAAGCACAAATAAAAGTTTCAATTGGAACTGTTAACTAAATGACAACAAATTAAAAATTGTGCAGATTCAGAAATGAACTTACTAAATAAATAACTTATAATAATATCACTAATAATATTATTAATATAATTTTTTTCAGACTGCCGCGGACTATGTAAACCCTCAGCAGCAGCCGCCGGCAAATCTCAAATAACAAATGCAAGTGTGGAATGACTCTGAGTGACTCTCAGAGAGCGGAGAGAAACAGAGGAGAGGAAGAGATCGAAATGGCCAAGTGGAAAATTTTGGCGGGCAGCAGCTAAAATACGATTTAGGTATGAAAGAACATTAAATAATACCAATTAAACGATTAAATCAGTTAAACGAATTCCATTTTAGTCGGAGACACCTAATTAACCAACAAACAAGTCAAATATTAACGAAATAATGTAAATGTGAAGTGAGAGCTACTTTTCCCTCCAATTGGAGTTGTAAGCGCGGGAAAAGGAATACGAGAAAACCATAAATTGGACAAATGCCGAAGTAAAATTAATAAATAACTACAAATATATGTTCCTGGTCCGTCAGCACTTGGACATCAAATTAAAGCTACTAAAACAACAACAAAAACACCTGAGACTTCCGCAGCAGCAGCGCAGCCCCCGCCATGTATGTGTGTGTGTGTGGTGGAGTCAATACACATTTGTGTATGTGTGCATCGCAAGTAACCGCTTTAAAAGAGAAAATGCAAATTAACTGATTTCTTGCCGCTTAAGCGTTTAAAGTTAACTGTTATAAACACTATCAATTGAAATATAAAGAAATGAAAGTGCGTGTATAGACCAAAAGACTGTAAAAGTACAAAACTGATTAAATATCGGCCCGTCGGTGTGTTTTTCGTGTGCGTAAATTTAATTCTTTCCATTTCTTTCCATTATTTCTTTTGTTTTTTTTAAGTGTTTAATTAATTAATGTGTTCATTTGTGAATCTGTTAGTTATATTTTTTATTTTTATTTTTTTAAGTGAGTTTTATAATTCTATTTATTATTGTAGTATGTGTTTCTGAGTGGAAAATAACCTCTTAAAAGAGGAAAATGTATTATTTTTGTTTGTTTTTTTTTTTAAGTGTTTAAAATAAATAAAATATTTTCCATTCTAAGAGTGAAAAAATAGAAAGTGAAGGAGTGTGTGAGTGAGTGTGTGTAATTAAATCTACGATTAATAAAGTAAATACTTATGTGTTTAATACAAATAAAATATATATTTTGTGAGTGAAAAAGGAAAGAATGGAAAAAGGCAAAACGTCGCGAGTGTCCGAAAATCAAAGTGTCGTGTGTGTAAATTAATTTTCGATTCAAGAACAATAAGACAATCATTAAAAAGAAAAATAAGAAAAATATGAAGAAAAAGACGAAAAAAGAAGAAACGAAAATCGGTGAGTGAGAAGATTATTTTATTTTAATATTGCATTTATTTGAATTTTACCTTTTACTCATAAACAAATTGAATTTGAATGTATTTGATTTTCCTCTTCGATATGATATTAAGAGAATTTTATAGTTTTTCACAGGAAATTTATTAGATTGAATGTTGATTTTCATATATTCTTCGATTCTCCTTTAATATTTAAATTAACTAAACATAAAATATTGGTATATTAGTATAAATTTATGCCAACAACTTATCAGAACCTTAAGAAATATGCTTAAAAAATTAATACCAAAATTTTGAGCTATAAAAAGTCTTTCTAAATTGATAGAAATTCAGGGAAAAAGGGGCTATTTTCGCATCTCTGTTCCTCACAAAAGGAAAACCAGAAGGTGGCTAGGAGAAAATCGTTTTGGGGCTAGCTTCAAGCAAGCAGAAAAAGGGGCAACAAATGAGGTGGATAATTTCATAAGCAAATGAGCAGATTACAAACCAACAAAATGGCATATTTCTTGGACCAAAGGACCCATCACATCCTTAACCCCCACCCACCCCTCTTAACTATTCCCTCTGACCCCAAAAGAAACAAGGTCGTCCTCGTTGGGCATTTTGTTGTCAAACCAATAAATGTAAAATTTCCTTTAAGTACATATCAAAAAGGATCATAAAATAAACCAATAAATATTGTAGTAGAATTTCCCACACCCCCCAAAAACCCTTGTCCTTTAAACGCATTTTGGTATTTTATTGTGCAGTTTTTGCTCCTTGAGGCTTCGGCTTCGGCTTTAGCTCCGGCTTTGTTGTTGTTATTATTGTTTGGCCGCCATAAACTGAAGGCAAACATCGTGATATACACAAAACCTATAATAGAAGAGACATAAAATAAATAAATTCATGCAAATGCCAGTGGTGTGTAAGAGGGCCAAAAGATATGGGCATTGTTGTTTGTCTCAGAAGTGTTTACCTTTCTCTCGATTCGTCTTCGGCTTCAATTGAGTTGAAGAATGGCAATTGCATATTAAGCAGGTCTTGAGCTCTGAACCCTAATCAGTGAAGAATGAATGCATTATGCATAAATGTGGGAAGTTTATTGCTTAGCAAACCCCATAGGAAATATGCAGATAAATGCATTGATTTTACTGGACTTTGGGGTTCTTTTTACAGACAATTGATGTAAAAATTTTAATTAGGAAATATTTGGGAGTGAAATTAGATATTAATTAACCTTGGCTTGTATGAAAAACATTTTTTAAGGCTTTACTAGTGAATTTATAGCCATCTTTAGCACTTTAGCTCTTAAGTTTCTGATCATATTACTAAAAATTAATATTAAATGATGAAAATAATAAAAGAAAAAGGAATATATTTATACATTTTCTTGTTCCGAGTGCCTTTAAAGAGCTCTTTAGTCCCGAAGTGGAGTGTTAATGATATGTTAAGCGCTTTTTTGCGCTTCTTTCAGCCTTTATCGATGGAAAAGGATTCACTTACTTTATATCGTTTCCGTTTCCGTTTGCTTTCCTTTTTCTTTTCACTCGAATTAAATTTCAATTTCATTTTATATGCAATTGTTTACCCATTTTAATGACTACCAAATTGTTTTCCACTTGTGTCTGCTACTTTTAAATTTTACATGTCCTGCTTGCGGCTTTTTATGCTGCGCGTGGTCCTGTGAGCGTGAGCCTTCGAGGATGTGATCCTGTGAGCCTGTCAAATGGCAATTTAACAGCTTTAACTGCCTTGTTTTTCGGCTTTTTGGCATGCACGTGCCCACGATTGTTGTCTTCGCCTTATATCCCCGTTGGATAATATAACCGGGCCAAATGAGAAAAAAAATACATACATATGCCTTTAGGCCTGAGACTGCTTAACATTCATTTGGTCAACTGCCCTTCCCATATAACTACCCCTCTTTCCTATTTGTTTTTTTTTTGTTTTTGGTTTTGTTATTGTTTTGGGCGGAATCCCTCCACTTTTTTTTTGCCTTTGCTTTCTTATCGCTCGGCCATGCGACGCGTTTTAAGTAGCCGCCAATGCGTTAAATTGTGTTTTGTTATTATCAGAGACTTTGTGGCTCTCCGCGTCCATATGACACTTTCTCCGTGGAAAAGGGGTTGAAGGGAGTGTACTATAGGGGTTTTGGATCGAAGGTTGCACTGGAAAAAATGGAAATAAATATTATATATATTAAAAGGGATAGAGAATACTGCTTAGGAGTGATTTAAATATTATTTACTAAGGTTTACTATAAGGAAATTTTCTTTCCTGAATAATACATTTAAAAAGTTGTATTATTTAAGATATATATAAATTACACCTTCAAAAGGGTCTAAAATGTGTTTTTTTTATATTTAAAATCAATTTTAGATCTTTATTTGACTTGAAAAATATTAAATATTAATTATTTAATATTATATTAAAATAATGAAATATACTGTTAGCTTAGACATGCTTTTAATATTATTTACTAAGGTTTCCGATAGTAAGAAAATCATATTGTTCTTATGAATAACATTTAAAATGTTGTATTACTTAAGAAAAATATATTTTCGAATTTTAAAAGGCTCTAAAATGAAGTTTTTTATATTTTCACTCAATTTTAAGTCTTAATCTTTAATAAAAACATAAATAAAAACTTCTGACTGAAATTATAATACCCTGCAAGGGTATAATAAAAGGTTCTCTTAGCATAGGAATGCTTTAAACATAATTTACTTCGGTTACCTCTAATAAAAATATGATTTCCTTCTTTAATAATACATTTAAAATATTGTGTTATTTTAGAAAAATATATTTAACAATTTTAAAGAGCTCTAAAATTGATTTTTTTATATTAAAGAAATATTCTAGTATTATTATTTATACTTTACCTACATAAATATTCAATTGTAAACTGTACTTTCCGTGTATTGATGGCCCATAAAAGGCGTTGAAAGCGTTTACACCTGCGCCTCCCCGGGGGAGGGGGGGTGGCCACACCCTCCTCCTACCCCCATACACCTCAAGACCACATCCCTCACCTATACAAAATATTTATATATTTATATGTATGTGTATGTTCGTGTGGCAGTGCAAGTGTGCGTGTATTGTGCAATTTATTTTAACGGCTCACGCTTTTGGACCCTGAAAACCGCTTTTAATGCCCCAAACGCGTCGAGCTAATTTTGTGGCATTTTTATGCCACCGCCACTCCCCCTAGGAATCCATCCCCTTTCCCATCCTTTGGCATATCCTTGGAGAAGTCCCAGCTGTGCGATCGCTTCTAATTTGTGTATACTCGGGTGTTTTGTAATCATATTTCTTTTGTTTTTTCTTGAATGATATTACGGCGGTAATTAGATTATAAAATATCCCATAAAATATGCATGTGTCATGCATTGTGTCCTTTTTATGGTTCTAAAACACATGTTAACCGCATACATTTTGCATTTGCTTGTGGTCCTAAGTGCGCTTCCTTTCCTTTCTTTTCGTTTTGGTCAATTTAATGGCAGCGAAAGCGTTTAAAAGCCATGAAAAGGCATCTAAAACCCATATCTGGGGAGTTGCTGTAGTAGCTGCTACCAAACAAATTTGCAAATTAAGCAAATCAAAGGTGGAGTGTGGGTATTTTTTATTTATTTATTTTTTTTTTTGGGTGGGCAAACAGAGCCTGTGGCAGGTGGCAGGGTCAAAGGGCAAAACGCAACGCAGTCGGCGCTAAAAGCGTGGCAAATGAATAAGTAATCAGGAAGCAGCGAGTCACTTTTTAACGTCAACATTACAGGGTGTTATTTTGGGAGTTGGTATTGGGTTTGGATTTGGTTATTTTTATTTTTGTTAATTTTACATAAAATATTAAAAAAATATATATAAATACATACAATTTGCGTATCAATTAGAGGTGGAGAACTACCGATAGTCGCTGCCATTGATATTTCACGTTAGTAAATGTTGAATAATCGATAGTCGTCGATATTTATTCGATAGTCGTCGATTTTGCTTCACCTTTAGTAGCAGAATTTTACCAAAATTCGAATGTTGGATCTTTAAAAAAAGGAAAATATTGTTTTAGCTGAGTAACTTGAACCATTTTATAAATCTTTAATAAATAAATTTCTACTTACTGGTAATAAAAAATCAAAAATAAGAGCAATAACCCTCTTTCTCCAAAGTTTATCCCATATTTACATAAATCAATCTAAGTTTTTGGTTTTTTTAAAACTTAATTAATATTTCCAGTTATTTTTACAGGATATCCTAGAGTTCTTTAGTCTTTCCTTTTCCCGTTTTCACGGCAAGCAAAAAAAAACCTTTTGATGTATTTGTTTGACTGAGTGGAGGAAGAAGGTCCATCTGGTGCTGGTTTGGTTTACTCGCCTCGCCTCGACTGGTCTCTCCTCCATTTTTGGCCAAAAGGCGAATGCCGGGCAAGGGCATTAGGACTCATATAATATGGTTATATTCATAAAATATGAACTCCGTGCTTGACTCTGGGTGACAACTACCAAGCTCTTCGTTAACTGCTGGCTGCCGACTGCTAACTAGCTTTGTATTTCAGTGGCGTTTTTGAAGCGTCTTGCGGGCTAACAAAATGCTGGTCTGGTCGTGGGGGGGCGGAAAACTCACTCAAACCGAGAGGGGAAATGGGTTTTCCGACGGGACAGAAGGGGGGGGGGGTACACTAGCCACATAAGTGTTTGTGTGTGCGGCAAATTATATTTGTACATTAAGTTTTCCCATCCGCGGCAGTTGACTTTGTACAGCATCCTTGTGGCCACGCAGCCTCTTCCTGGCCCCGTTTCTCTTGCTCGCTCGCTTCTCTCGACGCTGTCCTTGTTTGCCACAAAAATTCCTAAGAGCTCATTAATTATTGAGATACTATAAACAAGCTGGAGAGTCCCCTTTGTCTCGGTTCCCTTTGCTCTGGAAACGAAGTCAAGCTCGTTTGTGGCTGCCTACAGCCGCCGCTCAGACATGTTGGCAACCCCCCTCCAGACACCACCCCCTAACCCACCCTCTCTGGGGGGCAGCATCTCCTCCTCCTCCTGCAGCCTCCAGCCTCCAGCCTCACCCATCGAATGAAAGTGGACAGTTTTTCTTTTATATGCCCTTTCTGGCATGACGGAGTGTTTTGAATTTGAAATATAGAAAATTGGATTGCTGGAAATTCTTTATTCACAATTTACCACAGCAAAAGGGAACATTTATTGGATTCGTTGGAAACCAGTGCAAAGAGGCATCTATAAATATTTAAATTTTAAAAGAAAACTGTACGAAAAATTATCAGAGTTTGATATATTCTCTTGAAAAGGTTAACATATTTATAATTTTCCTATTATTTAAAGGAAGAACTATTCTTATTAGATGATATAAGAGTTTTTGCCCAAAAAGTATGCTACAGAAATATGTATATTTTTAAAATGGGGATTAAAAATATAATTATAAATCATTTATGACAAGATTACTTTAGGGTAACAGATATAAACCAAAATATATTATACGCTATTGATAAAAAATATAGAAGTAATATGTAACTTTGGGTAATCGAAGTTTATATACCCTAGGAATTTGTCATTGAATCGAGAGAACAAAATCGATCATAACTCAGCCAAAAATTGTCTAATTTTCATTCGGAAAACTTTTCTGTGCTAGTTTTGATTAGGGTAACAAATCTTCAATAAATTTATGATTAAAAAAATATTAAAATTTTTTCTGAATTTTTAAAGACTTTAAATTACAAAGTTTTGATACAAATTTTTTGGAACATTTTGAAAAATGTATTATTTTACCGGATATGGCTAGTTCGACTCTGCTCTTGGTGCTGATCAAGAATATATATGATTTATGGGGTCGGAAATGACTTCTTCAGTAGGTTTTAAGCTTCCGACTGAAATTAGAATACCTTGTAAGGATATAATAGTATAGGCAAATTTTGCATTTAAGTCAGGGTCAAACTATCTTAAGAGTAAGAAATCAAAATTCGTTAATAATTTGCAATTAAGTTAGGCTATTAACTTTAAGTATTACTTAATAGATATCTTCAGTACAAATTGCTGTATCATTTTACATTGAAATTAACTTATGGGGAATTAATGGGAAAATAAATGCATAACTAGCACATTTAATTAGACCTAGGCCTGATATACATAATTGTTATTAAGACTTACCGCAGTTAATTCCTTTACTTTACTTCCTGGTGACTTTATTTAGGCTTTCCATAGTAACATCGAAGTGATCCTCTTCCTGGTTATTCAGATGTATTCCATTGGTCTGCTGATGTTTTTGGGGTCGAAGGGTGATCGGTGATCACTAATCACTAATCACTGTAGATGCAAACAGGTGGGAGGCCACGCACAGACTGAGGCTAGCGCTATAGCAGCGTCTCTATTTATAGCCTGGGAGTAAAGAGAATAGAGAAAGTGAGAGCGAGAGAGTAAGAGCTATCTCTAGAGATGAGAAGAGGGAGCTAGAGGGAAAGAGCTACCTATCTAGCTAGATGGAAAGAGAGAGATAGAGAGGAGCTAGCTGTTGAGATGCACAGAGAGGGACAGACTACAGAGGAAGAGGGAGAGGGAGAGCGACAGAGTTTTAGAGCTAGAGCTAGAGTTTGAGAAATGTATAAGCAGAAGATCGCTTTTTGATTGATTGATTGATTATTTAAAGAACTAAAAAACCTAAAATGACCAAAGTTTTATCTGTAGAGTATATCCAGCTTCGTCTTTCTTCTTTTGATAGTTTTCCCCTCACCCCCTCCCCTAGTGAGCCACCTTAAGGCACTTGCTTTCATTTTATTCCCGTTGCCGCTTTTACTTCATTTTACTCGCCACAAAACTCACTAATACACACATTCTTTTACACACACACACACACACACGTGTGCCGCTCGCTTTATTCATAATTTATGCCAAAAGCACATTGGGCTTCATTCTCTGGCTTCTCCTTTGCAGGCATTTCCCTTTCCTCTAACGAACACCGGAAATGCCACCATACATGCTGTGTGTGTGAGTGTGTGTGGGGATTCCTTTGGGGCATCCATTGTGGCAGGAGAGTGGGAAAAGGGGCTAAATGGGGCGGGGGAGGAGGTGGGGCAAGGCAGACGACAATGCGTGACAATAAGAGGCCACGACTGACACTTGAACTGCGCTCTTATTGTCATCTATTGTTGTTGTTTTCGGGCACTGATAAAAATTATGAAAAAAATGTATAGAATAATATATTTAATATATGTTCAATTTGCATAGAATAAGGTGTTAAAATGGCAATTAAATTTTATTTGTAAACATATATATTTTAAAATATGTAGAGCTAATAACAATACTTTCTATGATAAATAAGAAGCTTAACAAAAGTATATTCCTATAAAAAAACATACCTTTCTTTGAGAATATTTTTTTTTTTGCTCTGTGAAAAACCCAACCCCAATTTGCACACTCTTTTCCTTAGCGGCGAATGCAGTTAGCCAACCCCCTTTGACGTGGCCCCCCCCGTTGTTTGGGTTTTCTGAGGGAGGCAAGTCCTGTGGGTGGCATATCATTTTTTGTTTTTCCTCCCCCCAAACTTCCCTTTTCTTGAATGCCGCCACAGAGTGCTAAATTGCACACACACAGAAACACACACACACCCCACTCTGGCACATATGTTTCCCCGAGGGAAGTCGGCATTATGGGGGGGGGGGGAAGGGGCAATAAGGGGGGTGTGTAGTGGCATTAGTAATAATATTTGACCCTATGCACTGCAATTAACGTCGCACACAAAATAGACAACAAACCAAATTGGGACACACACCTCCCATGCCTCCCTCCTTGGTCCTTTCAACTGTATAATTGTTATTAAAAGGGAGAGAGGGAGGGAGAGAGGAAGAGAGGGGTAATGGCTGCACATAACTTACACAAAACTGTTCCTTAAACTATTTGATAACATTTTATTCATACGTATATTATGATGGGGGGACAAGCAAAACTTTTAGTGTTTATGTAGGGCAAGCAATTCCAGTAACACAAAACTTTGACATTTCAGGCTGGAATTTCGTAGAGTTTGGTATGTAGATTTGCAAATAAAACAAAATGGATTTGGGAGATATAGTAAATACAATAAGGAATATATACGGAATATCAATATTTGAAAGGTGTTTATAAGCAGGAATTGAGAAATGAAATGAAAGGTGTTTATCAGCAGAAAGCATAAATGAGGCTCTGAGATAGTAAGATTATTGCATGGAATAATTATTAAGAAAGCGGGAAAATATTAAATTACATTTTAAAACAAATATGGTGAATAAGAAGCTTTACAAATTTTATCAATAAATAAAAGGAATATAAAAGGATTTTGTTTATTGGTTTTTGATAACAGTTTAAGACCAAGTTTTAAGCTTATAATTAATTGTTACTATTAGTATTGCAATGAGTAAATATTAAGCCATCAAAAACAGATTTAATTAAATAGAATATAAAATATAATTAAAAGGAATATAAAAGAGATTGTTTACAAATTTCTTCCGAAATTGTTTTGCCAAAGGTTTTAACTTCTAATTAAATATTATTATTATTGTCATGTTTAATTGTATTAATTCAATTTTAAAATCAGTTTTGCTTATCAAAAGGGGAAGTTGTTTTATTATTATTTAAATAAGGCTGTTCATAGGATTCTTATAACAATTTCTGACCAAAGTTTAAGTTCCAAATAAATACTGATTAATGGAACTAAACAACCTTCAATAAAAGGCAGTATAAACTTGAATGTTTTACAAATGATTTCTTACTTTCTTTCTATAAATTTAACAAAGTAGTCTATGAACTTTTCTGAAATTTAAAACCCTTTAAATTTACCCAATCAAGTAGCATTGACACCAATTTCAAGTTGATATCCCTACATCTCCAACTGAAAAAGTTCAGTTCGTGTTCAACGCTTGAACTAACAACTACTGCTGATACTTTCGACCAGTTCCAAAAAAAAATAAATAAAACCAAAAAAAAAACTTTACCGGTAAATATTAATATTTTCATTAGAACAAAAAAATAGTATTTTAAAATAAGAACCCTGATAGATCCTGGCTTTCTTTCGTAAACTCTCGTCGTCTGCGAAGATGCCGCTGCCACGTGTTTTTTTCGATATTGCCGCTGGGGACACAAAAATCGGACGAATTGTGATGGAACTTCGATCCGATGTGGTACCCAAGACGGCGGAAAATTTCCGTGCCTTGTGTACCGGCGAGAAGGGTTACGGCTACAAGGGTTGCCCTTTCCATCGGGTCATCCCGAATTTCATGTGTCAGGGAGGTGATTTTACCAAACAGAATGGCACCGGAGGACGTTCCATTTATGGGAATAGCTTTGCCGATGAGAACTTTCAATTGAAGCACACTGGACCCGGTATCCTGTCGATGGCGAATTCTGGAGCAAATACCAATGGATCACAGTTCTTTATTTGCACCGATAAGACCGCCTGGCTGGACAATAAACATGTCGTATTCGGCCAGGTGGTTGAGGGCATGGATATTGTCCAGAAGGTGGAATCCTACGGATCGAATAGTGGCAAGACCTCCAAGAAGATTATAATCGAAGACTGCGGTGCCCTTTAAGGAGAAGGGAAGGAAGCCAGTACCCCCGAATCACTAAAAACAAAGATGTGCTACTACTACTTATCACAAGGCGGTTACATTTTACACTTGCTCACTCACTTTTCGAGATAAACAACAAATTTAGACTCTTTTTAGTTCTTAGTATCGAGCTTACAGGTTAGATCAAAAGGGAACAGTACACTTGCAACTTTATATTCAAGCTTACACTTATTGATTGTTAACAATTGCATCGGAAGAGAACAAATATATACATGGGCTAAAGAAATTTAATGTTTTATTACTAATGTGATGTAGGAAAGCTAAGGGAACATTCTAGTTTCAAAAATTCTTAGAGAAAGGTTCCCCTTACTTTGTTTTTAATGTGTTTTCCTGCAATCCTTAAGGTTGATCTTTGCTTGAATGAAATCTTAAAATCACATGCACCACTCAGAGCAACACTTTCCCCCATTTCCATTTGCTTTTCCATCTTGCTGTTGTTTTTCTTGCTTTCCCTAGACTCCATTTTTTCCTTGGTTGCCATTCAAATCGCCAATCGATTTCGTTTGCCTTGTGCGCCTGCATTTCCCGACCTCAATGTCCGATTCTGTCCTAATTCTGTTCCCAAAACTCTGGCCAGGATCCTCTTCCTGTGTTTCTCTTGTAGGCCTTGGCCATTAGGCCGTGTGTGTAATTTGAGTGCAAACACTTTTTTTTCTTCTTTTGGCCCGGCTTGAGGGAAATCTATGTGCCGAAACTCACTTGCAAAAATTTTCTTTTGATTTGTGTGACTTTTGGGTGAATCTGGTCCGAGGACTTTCCACCTCCCTTTGCTGCACTGTAAATTACAATTTTAATTGGATTTTGAATTGAAATTTAATAATAACTAGGTTTTGATTTGAAAGTTTATGTTAACTTTCAATGTGGGGACTTGACATTTGTATATTATATTAAACACTATATATGTATATGTTGGAGGTTCTTTGAAATGCTCGGCTACAACTCTACGTGCAAATTTCTCAAATGACCTTGCAAATTTCATTGGAATTCACTTCAAAATGCAAAAGCCTACTACGACTAGCACATAAAAGATAAAATAAATATAATATAAAAATATAAATATAATAAACATAAAATATATACAATATTTTATTATATTACTATCATTATATTACGTTTATAAATATTTTGTTTCTTTATTTTTATTTAATCAAAACTGTTTAGAAATCTTGATCAGTGTTCTTAGATAGATAAAAGTCACATTTATAAGTATTAAATACAGATCTAATTAGTAAAATATTCTAGTTTTTCCCCGGTTTAGTTTCTTTCCGTATCGTTCCTTTCTTTCTTTCTATATAGTAGGTCAATCGTGCCGCTGCTTTTCCTCTTTTCCTTTGGATTTTTTTTTGTATTGCGTATGTGCGTTCTTCGCACACACACGTCACTACAATTGGGGCGTGGGTAAGGAAAGGGGGAAAAGTAAAAGGGGGCGATGGAAATGTGATTGTGACAGTGGGCGTGCCAGTCAGCCACGCCTACCCACAGTTGTGATGCCAAATGCAGTGCAATCTCCTCTATGGGACACTCGCCATTGCCTGGTACAGTGAATGCTCTTGAAGAGGTTTTCTCGAAGATATTACTATATCGGAATAGAATATATATACATATATTTCTTATAAAAAATATATATTTGTAAATATTTCTGTGTAAATACTTATTGGAATTTCAGATAAATAGAGATCACTATTTTTCACAGGATAAAATATAACAAATTTTAAAATATAGTTGAATATTCAGACTTTCTAAATAACAGGCACTCTAAAAAAAACATTTAAATATATATATTTATATATTTCTCATAATAATAATATATTTTATAATATTTCTATATGAAAAAATATTAAAAAATCTTTCTGTTAGGAATAAATTGATATATTCTTTAAAAAATAATTTAAATTGGCTTATAGAAACTAGATTGGGATAAAACTTTGCCGGAATAAATAAATAAATACATGAAAAATTTATAATGAATTTAGACATTCAAAATTCCTAAGTTTTTCATAAAAATAACAAAAGATTTCGCCTTATTTTTAAGTTTTCTGTCTTCTCATTGTCCCTTCATTGCTTGGCCTCCTAGTATTTCATTTTATCGAGTCCTGACTGTACTTCACCCGTTTTCCAGTTTGTTTTTGCATGCAAACGTCTCGAACAATAAATTCGCTTGCATTTTTCCAAACTCAAAATTTGTGCCTGGACCTAACGCCCCTTCTCCTTTTAAGGGGGAATCCCCTGAACCAAAAAAATGTGCCTGTCGCCTGCTGCTGCTGCTGCTGCCACCGCAGGACACAGTGCATATTTGATTTTATCTGTTAACTCTTTTAGCCACAAATCTACACAAACTACTGCCCCAATGCAGGCAGAAAATGCGTACTGTTGGTTTTTGGGCTTAACCCACTTGCAGCATGTCCCTGAAATGGATTCACAGGACCCCCTTGGAACCAAGGACTCCTACATACTGGATATGACAGTGCAGTGCAGGCCTCCAATTCTCTGGGTGCCGCCGCCGTTCCTGTTTTCTCATCCAATGATGCCAATGTCCAGCGAACGCTTTTGGCATAAATGCATGCAACCCCCAATTCCCCAAACCAAACCCCATATATATATATATGTTATATATGGAACCCGATCTATGGGTCTGTCTCTGGTGGTGGTGTGTGGTGTGGTTTGGAAATGGCAGTTGTGGCCACCCAATTTGTTTTATGACACACAGAAATGCAGCCTCTCCTCTCTCATTGTTATGCCCCAGAGAAGTGCCAAAGAACGATATGGGGGTCTCTCTATAAGGGGGAGTATAATGGGTACGTGATGGGGTTTGTCTGAGTGTTTATCACAAGGGGTTTAAGTTCCACTAGCTCAGGTTGATAAGAGGTTAATGTGGTTCTAGAAAAGGTGGATTGGTTTTCGGGGATGTTCATAAATGGGTTCTACATAAAAATTTAATAAAGAAGTGGTAAAGAAGGGTGTTGGAATAACCTCAAGAGAGTTGCAAAACAATTGTAAAGGATTCTGGGAGATTGAATGATATTTTTTAGGGTTTATATTGATTGGTAAAATTAATAAAATATAAGATAGTACCAGGAAAATCTTCCAAAGGGGTTGAAAACAATAGAAAATTGTAAATATTTTATAGAGTTCTAGAAAGTTTTGTTTACAGCATTTTTAGTTACTTTAAATTATTATTTTAGCTTACTTTCAAAGAGTTACCACTGAATAATAAATAAATTAGAGTAACATTTAATACTTTTTAACATTTAAGGAACATATATCATATATTTCCCATATTTTTAGATCACATTTTATATTTTTCAGAGCATTTTCCATTCGTGCAGCATAATTTTCTTTCCTTTGTTTGCTGCTGAAATTTTTGCCTGTGCGGGTCACATCGAAATTTATTGTTTATTGTGCAATGTGCAATGTGCAATTCATATTTTGTCATATTTTGAGGCCTCAGCGTTTGGTGGGCTTTTGAGTTTTGATTTTGATTTGTTGTTCCTTCTGGTGCATTGTGTTTTGATTCATCCCGCATAAAATGTAGTTCATGTTCATCAGCAGCAGTTGAGCGATTGTGTTTTTTTTTTTGGAAGGAATTTTTCAATTTGCATGGCATGGATTCGGTAAAAGGATATTAGAAATTTCCGCTTTTGTTCAGAATGCAATATGGAAATGTTTGAAACAGGATTTGATGGCTCGAAATAAGAAGGGGGAATCTAGTTTGCAGCTTAATGTCAAAAATTATGAACAAAGGATTTGATAAACAATTAGTTTGGTAAGCTAATAATTAGCTAGTTTAAAGGGGTTTGAAATATTTAGAAAACGGTATGTTAAATTTAAGAAATAGAATAGGATTTTTATATATTATCCATAACCTTATATACCCTTTGATCTTCCTTTCTTTCTATAAATATATGTAGCAATTTTATGGGTAAATAAGTAACGTTAAATCTCTGTAAAAAAATGAATTTTGTTTATATTTATTTGCTCAGTTAGTGGCCTATTTTTTGTTTATATTTATTCTCTTTTTCCTGCTGAGTGCCACATAAAATATAGTTCAACTCCATCAACTTTTAGTGGCTGTCATTGTTTGATTATCAATATAAACGCCGCTTAAAACAAAGAGCAACTACGAAATAAAATAAAAAATATATATAAAATATATATTTAGATAAAAAAAATAGTGAAATTGTTGTCCTCTGAGTGGACGCTTGTCCGCCTTTTTGTTTGCCATTTTCTTGCAAATATTTTAGACAAATAGCCGGAGAATGTTTTCCATTTTATTTTTTTCTTATGTTGCTTGAAAACCCAAGGAATAAAGTCAATGCAAAGCAAAGAAAAATATAAACAAAACTGAGGGGTACACACTCTTTTCCCTCCTCTCAATGATTTGTTTTCCTCTTCTTCAGAGTCTATCATGTTACAAATTGTTCAAGTGCACCAGATATTGGCCAAGAGGAAGGAAAATAGGGGGGAACAAGGAGACTTTGTCTTGGCCACATGCCGGTGACCTATAGTTGAGGTGGAAATAATAGATATTCTCTGGGGATTAATCAAAGAAGGAAAAATATACCTTTAAAAAGTAGAATAGTAGTTAGTATTAGTAAGAAATGTAGCTATAAATATAGTTTAAATAGAAGAATTATAGGTAGTATTTTATAAATAAATAAATAAATAACTCCTAGATTTCTGACCTCATCTATTGGTATTACCAACCCATTTCCACCCACACACATAGATATATATATTATATTTTCCTTGGAAAGCATTCTAGAATGTGTGTGTATATATATGGCGGTGGGTGGAAAAAGGGGTTTGTGGCAGCCAGGAGGTAACAAAAAGTTTTCCAAAGACAAATAAAACTGTTAAGTGAACTCTTGAATATTTGTTGCTGGCATCATCGTCAAGAGAAGAGTCCTGCTTAGACTTAAGGGAAAGGATGAGGGTGTAACCGATGGGAGGAAGGTCGGCAAAAAGGGGGCTGGCTGTCGAAGGGCTTGTAAATATCAAATTTGTAAATAGATATACATATATACAAAATACGGGCATGTTTAACATTTGCAAACATTTGTGCGCTTCAATCGGTTGACCTCTCCATCAGTTTTTTCTTCTCTTCAGGTTTTCCCCATCTGTTTGCTCTTCCACAGTTTTTCCCCTCCCGATTTTCCACACACTCTTCTTAACTCCCCCTTTGGAAAATTCCTGTAGTTACATTCAATTGCAGCTGCTTTATGTCTC